AGAGAGAGAGAGAGAGAGAGAGAGAGAGAGAGAGGAGAGAGAGAGAAGAGAGCATGTGCGATGAGCAATAGCTGTGGACCTTACAGTTGCTGCTAACTGCCCTGGTGTGTGTGAGGGAGAGAGAGAGAGGGAGGGAGGGAGGGAGGGAGAGAGAGCGCACTAGCGCGAGAGAGCGAGTGAGCAAGCGAGCAGAAAAGAGGTGGAGAGGGGGGGAATAAGAAAGAGAGAGGAGGAAAGGAGAGAAGGCAGGAAGAAGGCAAGGGGACGATACAACCATGCTGTGCTGTATGAGAAGAACCAAACAGGTAGAGCTAAAGATTTTTACTTCTTGCTGTTGTGAAATTATCAGAGTAAAATATTTCCCCGTAAAGGCAGGAAAAAATATTTTAACTGCTTCTGCTCTGGCATGGTGTTCGCATTTCCTTAGCATATGGTAACTGATGATTGCATCCCAGCTTTTATTCTTTTCTGTCTTTCAAGCTCTGGTTTTGGAATGCTGCTACTAATTAGGATGTGGGTAGGGAAAACATGCCCGGACACAATATAATTGCTTTTTTCTCTATTAGTAAATGCTCAGCCTCCTAGGTCTGGTTTTGAGGGTGTGGATGTGAAAAGGGGTGTGGGTAAGATAGGGGATCTACCTACAGATGGGGAGGTGATCCGTCATATTATTTGCAAAAAGCTGGGTTGAAGGAAAAATATTCGGGGTTGGGTATTGCTTGTTCTGTAGCACAATTTTCTCACATGTGCTGCGGAAGACGCCTCATTTCGTACATGCATGCGTTTCAAAGGGGCACAGGTATTTATGGGGAAACATGTGAACGTTTTATTTATTTATTTTTCAATGAATGAATGAAACTGTGCTTCAGGGAAAAAACATTAAAAGACAACCTAAAGACAACTGGGACCAGGGGAGAAATTGGCGGTGTAGAAGAGGAAAAAACCCCTTCTTTAGATTGGCATCCGATTGTGCACTAGCTGGTCGAGGGGACGGTGGACCACGCCCCTAGGAGCTTTGAGCTCCGATGGGATGGGAAAGGCGAGCCCTGTATTACCTGTTGGAAATCAGGTCTTTTTTCTCCTTCTCTTGCTTCTTCCTTGGATTATCAGGGACCAAAGACATGTGAGCATCCTGGATGATAAGCATGGTGACTCATTTTCATCAGGAAAAGGGACACATCCAAGATTCGCAAGAATCTGAATCCCCTCCTTCCCTCCCCCACTGCCTAGGTTTTTCTTCCATTTCAAATGGCTCACTTATTTCGTGAAAGAAATTTTAGAAACTTGACTGGGGTGAGGGTGGGGAGGAATGACGAGTTTGGTATCTGCAGTACTGTCATCGCCAGTGCCCTGACATTCTCCCAAAGAAGCTTTCAAACATTTGTTGGAACACGTTTGAGTGATTTGATCAGGGTTAAGGAGAAAAATGGGTGTGGGCTAGTGAGTGTGTGACTCTGTGTGTGTGTGTGTGTGCCTGACTGATTGTGTTAGAGGTGGGTGCAAGAGATCTGATTTGGGTATTATTTCAGTGCAGGTATTGGAAATTGGGCAATTTGTAATACACTCCCTGAATCTGAAGGGGGTGGAGAAGAGTAGAGAGGAAACATTTGCCTGCCAGCCTTGCACGTTTAGCCAGCGCCCTGGAAGGAGGGGTGGGGAGTGAGGATGAAGGAGAAGGTAGAGGAAGAGAGAGACAGAAGCAGAAAGTCAGAACAGTGGGTAGAGAGGCAAGGCGAATGAATGAATGAATGAATGAACGAATGAATGAATACATGAAGTAGCAGACATCCTTGGCTGTGTGGGGATGGCTGGAGAAAGTCAGTGTTGGGTGGGGTGCTTTTTGCAGCATTTCTCCAAACCACTGTTGGTTCCAAAGACTGATGCTTCCACTGGACCATTTTTAAACTAGGACATTTCCCCTCCTTGTCTTCCTTCACTATAATACATAAATGTAATAGATACAGGTGTCTGGGTTAAGCACGCTGTCAAAGAATGTTACTTCTTTGGTGAGTCGGGGAAATAAAATTTAGGAAGGCAGAGCCCTAAGAAAGCCAATGCTATTCATTAAAAAAGCTTTAATTTTGGAAAGAAAAATATGCCGGTTTACAGCTTGTTTCTACCCTAGTCTTAGACATGGAAGTGTACATACACGTCCTTTGATAAAGGACTCTATATATGCTTTTTACAAAAGGAATTAGCTGAAGGAATTCCCTTTCCTAAATGAGGACATCTGCCTTCACTGGGATTCCATCTCCCCAGCAGCATGGAGCTTTCCCTGTGATGTGCAAAGTGATAAAGATGAAAATGTGTTTAGAAAATCGTACATTCTCATGTTAATGTATAGCTGGCCCATTTTTCATATGCAAGAGTCATGCATGTACTGTATATGGTTATCACATGCCTTCCAGCATTTTAACATCATCCATATGCAAAGGAGATGAAACATACAGAAATGGTCCTTTGACCCCATATATCCCATAAATGTGTGCTTATGTGTGAAATGGTCACGTCTCCTACATAACAGTATTATATATTATTCACATTCATCAGTGTTTAAGATATCATTAAATCAGACAGAAGGAAATGGTGTATTTAGGGCGTGGGCTCACACTACTGACTGGCATTTATAGAGTGTGAATATTTAAGTCTCCCACAGTTTTCCTGCTTGTGGGTGAAATGATGCTCTCCCATTCCTGGCAGAATCTGATGGTGTCCATCCTTCTGGCATTTATTTATCGTCTTAGTTCTTAGCAGGGAATAAAACAAGGGCAGAAATCTGCAAAGGTCTAAACTCTGCCACACCCATGAAATCCAGCAGAAACGTGGGAGGGGGCTGGAGGACTTGCACTTCCTTCCTCTTCCACTTGAGCAACATAAAGAAGCTATCTTGGATTTCTAAGTTGTAATACATTGCCAATGGGTGAGAAGAATGCATAAATGGTCTATATTAGCCATTAGTTACTACTACAGATTATTATGACAGGAAGAAGAAAATGAAAGTAGTATTGAGATAAGAAGATGGTAAAGGAGTGGGCAGAGGAGGAATATAACAAAAGAATCACAGATTTTACTGGTTTAAGATTTTCAAATATCTTGGGACTTAACTTTAAATAGTTCAGTTTCTGCATGGATTGCAGATGATTAAAAACTCTCACGGTGTGAAGTATGTCTACAAAACAAGAAAACTGAGATATGTTTCCTTTGTTTAAAAATAGTTTAGTTTGTATTTGAAGTGTGAAGAATACCCTAACCCTGCTAACATCTGCCTATTTCTTCATACAACAAATAATTTTTCTTTTAAAGAGTGTGACCTGTGGTTTGTTATTGCACCTTGCTGCACCTTCCCCTTGCAGCCTGCCCAAGATGTGGAGGACACAGTCTTGGTGCTTGGTGCAGGCCATTCTTCCTGGTGATAAATTGCATTCCTACTAAATCTCTCTGAGCCACACCCAGTGTCACCCAGGGACTTCTTGAATTAATTAAATGGAGAGATTTTACTGAATAGAATTGAAGTTGCCCATTTTTAAAATACTGGCTTTCACCACATATTTCCAAATTTAAACAGAAAGAATTACTTAAGGGGCATGTTTATTTTTTTTTTCTGCCCTATTATCTGAACTTACAGAGAATCTTAGAAAATTCATAGTGAATCCAGAAACGTGTTGATCTCTGGTGACTCTAATTCTTTCTAACCTGTGCCAGGATGCAAACAAAATAAGCCCTGAGCTCTCCCACTGAGAATCTGTGAAACTCTGGTCCCATCCCACCCCCACCCCTGGCTGAGGCCACTGGAATAAGAAACCACAGGGTTAATTTTCTTTCTTGCTGAGCTGGCAAAACTACAGAAACCTCCTTTGATGTTTCCTGCTAAAAGGCAGTGCTCCTGTTCACCAAGAGGGAGCATCAGACAGGGTCTTCTCTGCCTCCATCATGGTGAAATTGTCAGTAATGTGCCTGGGGCTGAATTAATCCACAGACTTCAGAGTTTTCCTTGGCTGGCCCCATCAGGAAAGAGTGGGTATCTTTTAGGAAAGAGTAAAGGATACATATTAACCCAATGTTCCCCTTGTTCATATTGATAAAATAAAACATGTCTAAAATCTACCTGTATTAATAGTTGAAAGAATGCGCAGTACAAGTTCATCTCAAGTGAAGGTTTAACATTTAACTCTTTGCCTCCCTATTAGTTGTAATTGAGGCATTAGGACAAACAAGCACTGTCTGTCATAAACCAAAGAAGCTGATTGTGTGCAAGAATTCTCCCTTTTGCATTTCTTAAGCATGGTCAGATTGCCTCTATATTGCTGTAATTAAATCTGCATTATGTTCTCTGATTGGGAAGAGCACTGTGGTGTGAGTCCTTAATTGATGCCACTTACTGATTCTGTGGTCTTGAATGAATTATATCATCTTGGGCTTCAGTTTCCTCCTGCCAAATATAACTAAAAAAAAAAACCCCAAACCTCAAAATGAACAACAAACCCCACACTGCTTGCCATAAAGGATTTTTATGATGTGAAAATAGTCAATACAATTATAAGAAAATTTTCTCCAAGTTTTGCAATGTGAGGCTTGATGGAATCACCAGTTTTTTACCACTGATACATGCCTACCTTGTCTGTAGTTTTCTGTTAGACATTAACTCATTCTGGCCATAGCTGAGCACTTGTAAACTCCTCTGGGTTTTCTCCAGAACTTCACTCTCGTGCCCTGCTCTCTATTGACATTTCTTCATCTTGTATGATATAAGCTTCTTATCCCCAGACTTATAAATACATCTCTTCTATCTTGAAGCATCTCCTGACTCTACCCTGTCATCTCTATAGTGTTCTGGTTCACCTTCCTTTTAGAGCAAAATTCCTAAAAGCGCTCCACGTTCATTTTTTCCTCTTCACCACTCTCCATTCACTATTGCATCCACTTATTCCATCCCCACAATTCCTTTGAAATCAGTTTAGAAAAGGGCATGGCATGGCAGCCAGTTGCTCTTCAGCCTCCATCTTGTTTGATATTTCTTTGGTGTTTGCCAGTGTTTTCCATTCCCCTTTCTAAAACTCTCTCCTCACTGGGCTCCTTTCACAGTTCTCATTTTCCTCCCTCTCAGACAAGACCTTTCAGTCTTCCTTGTCTGTCTCCTTTCACACTCTTCCTTCCAAACATCAATAATCCCTTGGTCCACAATCTTAATCCATTCTTCCTGTCATTAATTCTAGATGATCTCATTCATGTCCAGAACTTTAATCACTCATGCGATTTCCAAATCTGTGGACCAGACATCCATTGGTGAATCTTTTGATCCATAAAT